GACTTTGGGTAACACCTGTCCACCTTTCGTAGTACGGGTTAATCGGGAAGTTACACCCGACGTCACAAAAACTCCTGAAGTTACCTGGATAAGCCAGTTACCCCACTTCAGAGTACAGGCCACAGGTAATGAGCAGGGCTGGGACCGGGACCAGGACCGGAACCAGGACCAGACACACAGGCAGGCAGAGCGATCAAGAGGGGGAAACAGACAGAACACACATTACTAAACACAAGGCAAGAATCTGGAACTCAAAACACAGAACAAGACCGACCAAATAACTGAGAAAGACGGGCAACTCCACAACTAGACAGAACAGACCGAGATAACTGAACAGAGCAGCTTAACACAGAATGATCATGACCGAATGAACAACAAACCAGTCAGAGATCACAATTAACACTTAGCAGACAGAAACCAAGCAAGAAGCAAACACCTGATTAAGGCGAATACAGATCAACACCAAACTACACAGGAAACAGACTGAACAGCACTAAAGGCACAGAGAAGGCTAGAAACTAATAATACAGATAGACTATGACAGGGAAAACTGAGTAAAACAAGAAACACAGAGCAGACAGCAAACAGGCAGACTGAAACCCAAAACACAACAGAAAGACAAACCGCAGCCAGCACAGACGAGGCCAGCAGGCCGATACAGAAACTACAGATAGAGCAGAAAACAGAGATAACATAATCAAATGATTAACGAGGCAGGCAGGTTTCACCACAGAACACGGCCCAAATGAAAAACGCTGCAGCCAGAAGCCCGGTCTCTTTCTCTGTGTGTGCTGGGCTATAACATGAAAACTGGCCCCTCAGCCTGGCCCCGGGGGCGTAAAGAAGCGCCTGGATTACCCAACAGCCTTTTTACTTGCTTGACCCAAAAATTGATTGGTGGACTCCAGACTGTCCAGAGCCAGAACCAAAGAAACATGATCACATCACTTCTGTTTCACCTTCTTTATGCGGGCCCCCAGGATGAGATTTTAAAATGTTGGTGATCACTTTTAAAGCTCTTCACGGCGCCTCTCTCTCTGCTCCATCTCTGACCTTTTAGTCCCATTCGCACCAGCACATACCTTCAGATCAAGTGCTCAATAAATAAGCCTCGTCAGGCTCGGGCTGAAATGCACGGATCTGGTACCTGCCCGTAGTACCTGCCCGTAGTACGCTGTGTGCCGTCAGCCGTCAGTCTTTGATCTCAGTGTTGCGTGTTTCTGTCTGAGTCAGCAGGAAGGATCAGCTGGGGTTTGTGTTTCTCTGAACACGCACACAGTGACTGAATGCAAACACTGAGAGTGAAGTGCTGAGCTTGAAAATAAGACTCACCGCCGCTTCCTGTTGAGCGGCTCCAGGTGTTCAGACAGTTTGTTGGACTGAAATCACGAACGGCTTCAGATGAAAACAAAACTGTTGAGACTTCAGAGGAAACCGACTCGAGCACAGTGAAGTAAAATCACTTTCAGAAACTTTCTTGTTTCTCTGATCGAGAAAATTTTACTTTGTTTAAAGTCTTGAAACTAACGGGTCTTTTTTCAAAACAAGACAAATAATCTCACCACACTGTCCTTGATGTTCCAGGTATCCTTGAAGATATTTCATTTTGGCTTTTAAAGGGTTGTAGGGATCCTTGAGGATGGTCAGGAGGTGCTATATAAGTTTCTAGTGGTCCACATAGATGCTTCAGGAGTCTTTAAGGATTTTCGCCTGGGTCCTGGAGGATGTTCCAGGTGTTGTTTTAGAAAATTACAGGAGTCATTGAAGTGGTTAAATGGTACCTTGATTAGCTTCTATTGGTCGTGGAGTTTGTTCCAGTGGTTCCACCTCTTCTTAGTCATTGGACTCCTTGATGATGAGGATCCAGGGGCCCTGGAGAAAATTTCTAGGCTTGAGGAGGTCAAAGAACTCCTTGGGATGCTATATGTATAGAGACTCTAGAAGATTCCAGGAGTCCTTGCAGAGGTTCTAGATGTCTTTGAGGAGGCTGAAAGGGTCCTTGATAGTGTTCTAATGGTCCTGAAGAATCTTCTGGGAAGTTTTAGATGTCCTTGAGGAGGTTACGTCGGTTCTTGGTCGGATTCTAGTGATTCTTGATACAGGGGGTCTTTCAGGATATTCCAGGTGTCCTTGGGGATTATTGGAGAGCTGCTATTGAAGATTCTAAATGTTGTTCAGGATTTATCATGAGTCCTGGAGAAGATACAAGGAGTCCTTGAAAAGGTCTTTGTCCTCATGACAGTAGCGTAGTAGTAACACAGAACATTTAAACATGTTTATGTTTCAGCTTTTAAACTGAATTCAGATTGAAATGAGTTCAGAGGCAAAGCTGCCGAACAGAACAGGTGCAAGATGATGTTTGCACAATCACCTGAGCCTCTGAGCAGGAAGTGTCGGCATGTTCCTGATGGACACGTGGAGCTCAGCAGCAGCAGTAGTATTAGCACAGTGCGAGTACACAGTGGTATTAGAAGCCTCTCAGGGTGAAGACATTTGTTTGGACTGCTCCTTTAAGTGCAGGACTCTGTTTAAAGAGCTGATCTAACTATAGCTGCTGCGTTCGATGAAAGGAATGTTTCTAAAAGCCGCTGTCAGCGTCGAGTCGCTGCTTTCAATCACCAGCTCAGCTCTGAGAGCAGACAGCCCGCCACGGCGTGAATTTGGTTGTTTTGTGCGTTAAAGAGTGAAAAATGATTTTAGTAAAATTAATTATTACCTCTGGATTTTAAAAAGACTGTACACATTAAAGGGGAGGGGGGGGACTAAACTTCTCACCTCACTGTCCTTTAAGATCTCCATTGGTGGACCGCCATTTTGAAGCCTCCAGTTTGGCATTTTGGCCGTCGCCATCTTTTTTTTTTCGGAACCAGACGTGACCATATTTGGACGAGAGGGTGGAGCTAGCTAGCCTGGTTAGCATGGTGCTTCTGTAATTAGCTGGGAGGCTAATTTTAGCTAGCGACAAACAGGCTTCAAACTAAACGTACTCACTGAAAAATGAGCAGCCGACTCCTGATGAGCTTATACAGCGGTGCTGGTTAAATGTACACAGAGCAGCGGGTACGAGTCGCCTCTATCGCGTCGCCACGCTTGTAGCCCCGCCCTAAAGCCTCCCCTGCTTCCTGGTCTCTGTTCCTCTAAATGGGACCATAATTTACTAAATGAACATCATGCTGTGTTGAAGAAGACTTGAAACTAGCGACTGAGACCATAAACTCATCAGGAAAGTGTTTACTGAGGGAATAAATCAGCTGAAGTAGAAACTGTTACTCAGAGACTTCTTTCTGCAGCCGGCGGAGTCGCCCCCTGCTGGCTGCAGAGAGGACGCAGGTTTAAGTCGCCCCCTGCTGGCTGCTGGAGAGGACGCAGGTTTAAGTCGCCCCCTGCTGGCTGCTAGAGAGGACGCAGGTTTAAGTCGCCCCCTGCTGGCTGCTAGAGAGGACGTAGGTTTAAGTCGCCCCCTGCTGGCTGCTAGAGAGGACGCAGGTTTAAGTCGCCCCCTGCTGGCTGCTAGAGAGGACGTAGGTTTAAGTCGCCCCCTGCTGGCTGCTAGAGAGGACGCAGGTTTAAGTCGCCCCCTGCTGGCTGCTAGAGAGGACGTAGGTTTAAGTCGCCCCCTGCTGGCTGCTGGAGAGGACGCAGGTTTAAGTCGCCCCCTGCTGGCCGCTGGAGAGGACGTAGGTTTAAGTCGCCCCCTGCTGGCTGCTAGAGAGGACACAGGTTTAAGTCGCCCCCTGCTGGCCGCTGGAGAGGACGCAGGTTTAAGTCGCCCCCTGCTGGCCGCTAGAGAGGACGCAGGTTTAAGTCGCCCCCTGCTGGCCGCTAGAGAGGACGCAGGTTTAAGTCGCCCCCTGCTGGCCGCTAGAGAGGACGCAGGTTTAAGTCGCCCCTGCTGGCCGCTGGAGAGGACGCAGGTTTAAGTCGCCCCTGCTGGCCGCTAGAGAGGACGCAGGTTTAAGTCGCCCCCTGCTGGCTGCTGGAGAGGACGTAGGTTTAAGTCGCCCCCTGCTGGCTGCTAGAGAGGACGCAGGTTTAAGTCAGGTTGCCGCTTGAATAATACAGACAAAATGCTTTAAATCAAACTCGCGAGGACGGACGGGGACTAAACCCTGAGAGGAGCGGAAGCAAAGTTTACTGTCAGAAAGTGAAGATCACTCGCAGACCTGTCTCTGCTCACGGAGTCCAGGTAAAGAATGTTGTTTATGTGACGTCATGACCAAAACGTGAAGCCGTGGGTTCACTGGCCGTGGGGTCTCGTGAGAAAACCCACTTTGGCCGATGGTACCCGTGATCTGGTTCTTTTGATCATGACCCAGCCTTCATGACTGTGTGTGAGGGTAGGAACAAAAACCCGATTGGTAGATCGAGAGCTTTGCCTTTCACCTACACAGCACACAGAGTCGCGACATCCACATGAGTCATTCTCACCCAGAAAATAAAGCTTGTTCAAAATAATAATTATAATAATAATTTCCCGGTGAGGACGGTGTGTCGCCTCCTCTGATCGATCATTTTAAATGTCACAGCACAGACATCGTCATTAACCTTAAATCAACTGCACGGTGAGTTGGAGTGCATTAAAACCCAGTGGTGGAGGAGACTGAACTCTGTCCTCCTCTCTAACACATGTTTCTCCAGAGAGTGATGGGGTGGCGATGGCGCAATGGATAAGACACATGCCTTCGGTGTGAGAGACCCGGGTTCAATCAATGTGTACCTTAGCGAGACACTTAACCCCTCGTTGCTACAGAGGCATGTAGAGCAGCTGTAAGTCGCTTCGGATAAAAGCGACTGAATAAATGTAAATGATGTACCAACAGGAATACTGTCCCTCATCAGTACTCGTTTACATGGAAGACTAGTTGTGCTTTGTTGAGACAGTGCGAGTGTCTCACAGTGTGGATCTGATGTTAAAACAAATGTCCGAGTAAAGAGCAGAGAGCGTGTGAGTGTGTTTCCTTCAGTTTCTCAGTAACGCGTGTGCTTGTTTCGCCCTGCAGGTCGTCCTGAACGGGAACATCAGCGTCCTGCAGGAGACCGTCGAGCAGCTCCGTCTGACGGAGGCCAACCTCACCATACAGCTCAGCCAGCAGGAAGGTAGGAAAAACTCCATCACTGCCATGAAAGGAGACTTTCTCAGCGAGCGGTATTCTTAGCTCCCCCCCCCGCCCACCGTTACCATGAAGACCTGTGAGTCAGAGTAAATAAACACACACGATTGGTCACTTAAAGAAAAAGGCAGTGTGTGCTGTGAGAAAGAACGTCTCCTTTAAAAAGTTTCAGATTAAACTAAATATTCTCAGGGATCAGCTTCAGTCGTCCAGGACGCGACTTTAGATCCTGTTTCACCGGCTGTGAGGAGGAAGACAGAAGAATGAAAACAGAAGCAGGAAGGACCGCAGTAACATGCAGTGCAGTAGAAAGTGTCTTTTGAAGGACTGCAGTAACATGCAGTGCAGTAGAAAGTGTCTTTTGAAGGACCGCAATAAAAGTACTGCATTGAAGCCTGATGGTGTGTTCAGGGACTCTCTGTGGCTTCAGGACAAACAGCATGTCAGGACTTTGGCATGTGGGTTTCCCTGGGATGACGTCAGGATCACGGCGCTACGCTAACGCTTACATCTCAGAGGGAGGGAGGAGTTCCTGCTGAACTTCACACCACAACTCAACATGGCCACAAGCTGACTCTGGAAACGTTAACTCACAACCTGCTGCTGCTCTTCTCGGCTCAGTTTGAACACACATTTAATTTAGAAACACATCCACAGCAAAAACAGCCCTCCAGAAAGAAGCCCAATATTCTTAATTATTATAAAGTTTTCTTAAATTGAGCAAAAAAAATCTGACAAATTTGCTTGGCTGGATTATTGCTTATTATTAAGCTTACGTTAAGGTACAATTTCTTAAATTAGTGATCAAAATACTTACTTTGAGAAAGTCTTCTTGAAAATGGAGTTTTTCTTGCTTGTAAAAAGCACAACTTGCTTAAATTTATGTTTTATTTCTGCGAATTGTTCTAGTTTAAAGTCCATTACAGTCTTTCAGTGGTTAGATTTTTATAGCTAGGCTTTCCTGCATTTGGCTCAAAACAATAAAAAAAATTTATTAAGTATAAGAATATTTGGCTTGTTTATAGAAGGGCTGTTTTTGCACTTAACAAGAATCTTAAATTTAGAAAATTGTGGAAATATTCTTACTCTTAAACAAAGGGGAGTAATCTTGTTCCTGTGCTGGGATATCATGCAAACCTTAAATCAAGCTCAGTATAAGCTGTAATATCTTAAGATCTAAAGAAAGTTAGATCAATCTTTTTTATATATATATAAAAACGTGCTTGACAAGATAATTTTCAAGATACATCTCCCCACACACAAACGTTCACATTGAAATGCACCATTCATGTTTTTAGCCTCAGTTACTTCCTGTGTTTCACCTGTGATCACGTCTGTTAGTGTCACAATAAAACCACATCAGATATCTGCAGGTCATGAGGAGGTGCTCCCAGTCCAGAGGAGGCGCTCACCTGTGACTGTGTTTTCCTGATTAAGGTTTTTTAATAAGACTTTCAGCTTCTTTCAGATAAGTGGAAAGAAAACATCTAAAATCCACATTTAGTAGTTTATTTTCCTGCAGTTTGTCTCTGTGCGTCTGTAGATTTCTGTTAGCTTTCTAATGCTACACGTCCTCCTGTCATTTGATCAGATATTCTCTGTAAATACTTAAATAATGAATTTACAATACACATCTTTACAGGCTGTTTTCCTCACACTCTGAGCCTGAAATCTCCAGCAGCTCTTACAGTTTTATCCCCGACTTTATTCTGAAGGTTTTCACAGAGGGGTTTGTTCATATATCCCTGAATTATAGAACATTTTGTTCCCAAAAACAAGTGAAATGGGCCTGTAATGTACAGTATTTTCTGATTTATGAAATAATACAAAGAGATATCCAAAACCCCCTCCCTAAAAACCTTTGAGTCTAATGTGTCACCAAAATAAAACATCATCTTGAACCTGACTTAATCCAGCGTTCAGGTTCAGTTCTTGAAATAGATGCAAATTAGTGCATATTTCATTAGATGGGGGGGGGGGGGGTCAATACAGCATAGTATCGCGATATTTTCCATGGAAATACTGTATTGATACACAAACAACAAGTATCAGACAAGTATCGATCTTTTATTATATAAATTGTACATGAGGATTTTTAACTTTTTTGAAACTATAATAATAAAATCAGTCCACTAGAAAAAGAGTTTTCCTTTGGGGAAACAATTAAAAGTTGTAAAAAAGTAATAAATTCCGATATATCGCAATATGTTTAAAATCTCAATGATATCGTATCGTGGGGCCCCTGGTGATTCCCAGACATATTAGATACTCCCTCATTTGCATATTTAAACATTTAGCCACAACTTAACATCAGTAAACCTGTCGTACAGAAAATGTCTTAATGTAAATTTCATGGTGATATTTACAAGTTCAATGTTTTACCCTGTTCACCTGTTATGTTTCGCCTTAAAGACTAAGCGGAGGAACGAGAGCTTTTTCACATCCCGTTCATCATGTTGGGTCATTTGTTGAATGTTTCAAACTAAATTTGTGACCAAATCTGAAACACTGTACCTTTTTTTTTTGTTTTAAGTTAAAAACAAAGAAAGGTATTTTCCTTGACTCATACTCTCCGGCAACAGCAGCAGCAGGGCGGGAACAGGAGCATGATGGGAAGTGGATAAATATTTTAATGAAGGCGACTTCCTGCCCTGAACAGTCGGAGGGAAGCGATGAATTCCTGTATGAAGTAGATATGAGAGCAGCATTGTGTTAACGGCCCGCTCTGATAAACATCGCTAATGTGAACACGTCCGTCTGCTGCACGCAAACAGCAGCACGACCACTTTAATGCAGAACGCACACCTTTTACTTCAGGACCACCGAGTAGAAACACCCTGTTACAGGTAAAGGTCCTGCATCCTGACAAAAGATCATTATTATATTACAAACATTGATGCATTCATGTGTTCATCACTTTAGTGTTGCAGCTGGTGAAGGTGGAGCTTAATGACTTTCAGCTGTAATTATACTTCATCATCTGTTGATTTAATTTACATACAGTAAGAGATCCACAAGTGATGGAGTAAATACCCAGGGGAAGAAGTAAGAGTTAACAATAGTCAGTCAATAGAAGAGAACTGTAAAGAGACAGAAGAAGAAGAAGAGCACTCCTTTCACAGCGAGTTTAACAGGTAACTGTTTCATCCCCAGTCGGAGGTCAGAGGTGTTATCAGAGGAAGTGTTCTCACAGAGTTTTCAGGAGCTTCTTGGAGTCAGAGAGGGACGCCACTGCTCTGATGGCGTGCGGTAGCTCGTCACAGATGAGAACAGGGACTGAGGTCGCTTTGTGTGACGGGACGGCAGAGCCAGGCGGCGTTCGTTGGAGGAGCGCAGCGGCCCAGAAGGAACGTAGGCTTGGTTTGTGGAGTTCAGGTAGATGGTGCAGACCCAGGAGTCGCTCTGTATGCAGCATCAGGGACTCTGATTAGATTCTGGAGGCCCCGGGGAGCCAGACGAATCAAATATATTATTAACAATCTGATTCGATAGAGTAACTGAGTTGAGTGTTCTTTACTCTTCATGGTCTGGACGGACTGCGGGACTCTCTCAGTGGTTCAGAGTTTCTGGCAGTGACCTCACTGAGACTGAATCTGATCCAGAATCTGCTCACAAACAAGCTGAAGTACAGAAAAGGAGCGCTGGCAGCCGAGCTCATTCCTGAAGCAGTGACGCTGCGATAAGACCCAGCGCTGCCTTATACGCTGATACGGACTCCTCTCGCTTCTGTTTCTCAGATCACCAGTGTTCCCGAGGCCTGATGGGATGCCACTCCTCCTTAGTTACTGTTGCTATGTTGGACAACAGTATCAGCACATCCGGCTGCTAACAATAGAAAAACGCCCGTTACCTGAACACAACACGTGTTTTTAATTCTGAGGAGGGGGGAGTTCATGCTTCACCTTGAGTTTGGCAAAAATAACTCATGATCTTCTAAACTAGACTGAAACTCAAGTGTGCAGATTCATGAAGCTTCACGGTCGCCTGTAAACAGATGTAGACGCTCCTTAATGAATCCTCTGTACATTAAGATGTTTTTTAACCGCAAAGTTGTTCGACTGGAAATAAAAACTTCGACTCGTCCGAGTGTTTTTTTATGTGTTGGTTCAACTTCTGGAGTCACAAACAAAACAAAAACTCCTGAATGGTGAAAAATAACGTTAGAACTGCAATGAAGAAGCGTGGAGCTGGTGGCAGAGGCTCATGGGTATCGTAGTTTCCTCCCAGAACCTAATGAATAGATTTAATCCTTCAGATTTATGATACTCTTTGTGACTTTTTGAAGTTATTTTGTAATGATTGTACCCGGTGGAGTCTGCGCCTCCTGTGCAGGATGTGTAAGACAAAGGAAACGCAGTTCAGCACCGTGTCAGACCGTCGTCTCCTCCTTTCTCTTTTTAAATCTGTTTGAGCCACGTTTTGCCTTTTATTAGAGATCCGGCAGCAGAGAGGAAGAGACTACATGCAGCGGAGATCTCACCGGACTCAAACAGGATGATGTGGTTTATAGTCGGTGCTTAAACTACCAGCTCAGCTCTGTCAGACCGATGATATTTACTCATGCTGACCTCAGACCAGCGTACGTGTGTTTTACAGAGAGATGAGGTGCAGATTAGAGACTAATAGTGAAACATTTTTCTTATGTACTGTAGGATTTAACTGATCTGCCAAAGGTGCATTTATCAGTTGGATTTATTCAACTTTACATTCGGAGGCAGCGTTTTATTTTCTTGTCTTTGTGATCTTTTTTATTGCGAAGCTGTTGGAAAGTCTGTGTAACATCAGTGACTGGATCAGGTCCATGTGGGCGTGATCGATGGAGCCTGACGGCTGCTTATCAAACAGCTGCTCCTTCTCTGTTTCTTCACAGTGACAGCTCTGCAGGCTGGAGGCACAAATGTTGATATGCAGATTTAATGCCTATTTATGTTCAACAGGAACTCAGTTCTAAAATCACATCACTGAGATTTATAACGGGAACGTTCGAGCTCACGTCTTTATGAACCGAACACATGTTTCTGTCGTCGTGCTTCAGCGTGCGTTTTGGGATTCGGCTGCAGTTTTTTTGCTGTATTTCTTGCAGACAAGCTGAAACTGGCACATTGCACATATTGTTGTTAATTTTTATATTGTATAATGTATAATGTATATTTATGTCACAATACTCCCATACTTCAGATGCTCATGTAAATATCTGTGACGTTGTCTTTCTCTGCAATAGTTGTATTATTTTTCTCCATCCCTTTTATTATTCTTATATAACTTGCATTGTCTATTCCATATTTTATATTTCTACATTTATTCATGTCAGCTGTATGTTTGTCTGCGTGTAGTACCTCATCACCAAGCAAATTCCTCATATGTGTAAAATACTACTTGGCAATAAAGCTCCTTCTGATTCCGAACTCTGGGATCTGTAGTATTAAAAGTCAATTCATACTTTCTGGTTCCGCTGATCCGCCAACCGTGCCAGCTGAAAATGCTCCAGGTAACAATAGATGCTTGTTTTGAAGAGAACGCTGCAAGGAGATCCTGTTACCCACGCTGATGTAATTCTTTGTAAGAATTCAAAGATGGACAAATAGCGCCAACGCTTGGGATGTATTTTCTTTACCCTACTCTGGTTGGCAGACAGCGTTATGGTGCATTACCGTGTGGATCGGGAGATGTGCATGCTTGAAACTCTTAGCATGAATGGCTCTGCAGCTGAAAGTATGTCTGAGCCTTTACAACATACACGCCGCAGAAACCAGGACTGAAATCTGCAGGTTAAAACAGAAACCTTAAGTAGAAGTAAAATCAGAGTTGTTGTTCCTCATGCTAACGCTCTCTGTATCCTCAGATCTCATCGAGACCCTCCAGCAGAACATGACCCAGATCGTCCATGAGACAGAGTCCTGCATCAGTCTGAAGGCCGCTGCTGAGTCAGATGTTGGCTGCTCAGAGTCAGACCAAAGGCTGTGAGTCCAGGAAGCAGTACCTGCAGAAACAGCTGTGAGTACCTCCTCCTCTAACCGTGTTAAATTAGGTGTTTCTTCAATGGAGTTTGGTGAGTGTGGTGGATATAACTGCAGTGTATCAGCTGACAGCATCCAACTTTCAGCATCAGTGAATTTCTTTAATTTATTTTACCAGGCAGGTGAGTTAAGAACCAGTTCTTATTTATTATGACAGTCTGGGAAGATATCTGAAGCACCTGAAGCTCCGGCTGAGATTCCAGGGTTCAGACTAAAGGACTGGTAACAGAACTATTCCCATTAAACCAGTAGGGCCGAGGACCTTGACCAGTTAAGTGGGAGATTATTTCATCATCATCAGCTGATACACGGCAGTTATATACACCGAGCTCACCAAACTCCATTGAAGAAACACCTAATTTAACATTCCTTCCCCAGTCTCTCTCTGTCCCTCTGAAGTGTATTGATTGATTTCCTGATGGAGGCTGCGGCGCTGACTGTTAGTGTTTTTACAGTCAGAAGTGTAAAGATGTGGACGCTGAAGCTCCTCAGCAGATGCAGCCGAAGGAAGACTCCGACGACGACCTCCCCTCCGTCGCCTCGCCCCTCCTGGTATTCCTGCGCTGACGCGCTCGTCTGCGGCGCTCTGCATCTGAAACCTGTGAGTACCGGCGACGCCTCGCCGCTCGTCTGTCGCACACACTAATATCACTCGCACGTGTCTTTAATCAGAAGCATGAACAATGAAGCCACAAGACTCAAACGACTCCTAAGATTATCTTTACTCCAGTAAAGAAAATATTCTTTCTGAAACTTGGCTTTAAAAAAACAGTTAAAGTTGATTTAA